CAAACATTCTGGCACTTTATCTGGCATATCTTCTGGCATTCTATCTGACATTTTATCTGGCATTCTTTCTGGCATACCTTCTGGCATTCTATCTGGCATTCTATCTGGCATATTTTCTGGCATATCTTCTGGCATTCTATCTGGCATATCTTCTGGCATTCTATCTGGCATATCTTCTGGCATTCTATCTGGCATATCTTATAGCTTTCTATCTGGCATATCTTCTGGCATATCATCTGACATTCTATCTGGCATATCTTCTGGCATTCTATCTGGCCGTTGAGGCCCAGCGGTGCACACCAGGTTGAGGTCCAGCGGTGCACACTGAGCTCGGAAGGTCCCCGGTTGAGGTCCAGCAGTGCACACTGAGCTCGGAAGGTCCCAGGTTGAGGTCCAGCAGTGCACACTGAGCTCGGAAGGTCCCAGGTTGAGGTCCAGCGGTGCACACTGAGCTGGGAAGTTGGCAAAGAGCTTGGCCAAGAGTTGGCATGGCGGAAGTTGAGGTGGAAGTTGATGCAGACATGGTCGAGGAGAAACAGGCGGGAGAAGGAGGAGGAGGAGGACGAGGAGGAGGAGGAAGAGGAGGAGGAGGAGGGGGAGAAGAACAACTGTGATAAAATCAAACAACCCTCACCTGGCAGGTGGGGAATGAATTTCTTTGAGAACCAGTTACTTGAACTTGAACAATATCCTAAGCTTTGAAAAGAATGCAGTTGTGGCTTCCTGATTCTTAATTGAAATTCTGAGCTGTGCACGCGTCGCGCGCCATCTTCAAGCGCTCCCTCCCGGATTTCTCCGGATGCTTCTGAGCCAATGTCTGAAGCTCAGCCTTCAGAAAGGTCTGGTAGGAGTCCATCAGTGAGCCAGCCTCCAGAGCTTGGGGTTGTGGGCCACAACTGCATTTGTGTGGCACGGTGGGTTTTGGATGCTCGTCCTGCGGATCAAATTGAATAGATGTTGAACGGTCCCGCCTTAGGCTTGCGAGACCCAGCTGGTGCCCGCTCTGGTACCTGTCAGGACCAGGAGGCCAGGGACCAAAGATTGGGAACAGCTGTTCGATGCGTTTTCCATCTCACATCATTTGACAAAGTTTGAAGTTTCCACTGGACAATGGATTATTCCAGATGTCATCCTACAACAAAACTGTGATTTGACATGATTTGACTGTTGACGAGAGATTTTGGACATGGACAAACATTGATTCATACTGTACTGTGTCGGTTTATTTTTTCGGGTCAGTCCAGAAGCAACCCAACCTATATAGTTTCCCTCTCCTGCCTCCGCATCGTCATCACCATCACCACCCATCACCAAAGTCTCTTCACCTTCTGACTTTTCTCCATCTTCCACCTCTGCTTTCACCTTCTTTTCATTCTTCTTCTTCACTTCTGACTTTGAAACCTTCTCATCCTTCCTTGATCTTTTGGGGCGGGTTGGCCCAGCTCCGATGGCCTCTGGCAATCCAAGGGCTCGTGCAGCAGTGGAAAACGTTTTGTTTTCACCATCATCCTCTTCTTTCTTCGATCTCTTCGAAGCCTTGTGGGCTCGCTCAACCTTGGGTTTCTTTCCATCCTTCTCTGCCTGCTGGTTTCCACATGAGGACTCATGTGCTTTGCGTTTTTTTGGGGCAATCTCAGTCTTTGCGATCCTCTTAGGTTTCATCTCTTCTTCATCAGTCTCCTCACTTTCATCTGGTAGTTTCTCCTGCGAAGAAAGTTCTTCCTCAGAGTCTAGGGCATCTGAGGCCTCCTCAACTTTCTTGGCCTTCTTCTTCGACGCCGCCTTCTTTCCTGTATCCTTCCTCTTCTTGCTTGCTCCTGTCAAAGCTTTGGCAGCTCGGGACTTCCCATCCTCATCTCCATTTTTCTTGACCTTGCCACCTGTCTCTGGGGCCGCTCTCTTCTTCTCTGAAACCTCCTCTGGATCTTTTTTTCCATCATCCTCCTCTGCTTCACTCAGCTCCTCAACCTCCTCATCCTCGGTGTTCTTCTTTTTCGTTGCTGTCTTTTCTTCTTTCTTTTCTCTCTCTGCCAAAAGCTTCAGAATTCGGGAATTCAAAGCTTGTTCCTCAACCTTCGGAGCCTTTGGCGTCTTCCCTTCAACCTGTCCTGACTCTTCCTTTGTGTGATCCTTCTCTAAGTCGCTTGGCTGCTCAAATTTCTTCTTTCTTTCCTTCTCTAATCTATTCTTCTTGGCCTCTGCCAAAACGTTGGAAATTCGGGCCCGCATACCCCCACCTCCATTCTCCTTGACCTTCCCATCTGGCTTTGGGGCCTTTGCCTTCTTCTCTGAATCCTCCTCTGGATCTTCTTTTGCCTCATTCTCCTCTGCTTCGCACGGCTCCTCAACCTCCTCCTCCTCCTCCTCCTCCTCCATGGTCTTCTTCTTTTTCGACTCTGCCTTCTCTTCTGCCTTCTTCTTGCTTGCTCCTGTCAACGCTTTGGCAGCTCGGGACTTCACATCCTCATCTCCGTTCTTCTTGACCTTGTCCCCTGCCTTTGGGGCCTTTGCCTTCTTCTCTGAAACCTCCTCTGGATCTTCTTTTTCATCATCCTCCTCTGCTTCACTCGGCTCCTCAACCTCCTCCTCCTCGGTCTTCTTCTTTTTCGACGCTGCCTTCTCCTCTGCCTTCTTCTTGCTTGCTCCTGCCAAGGCTTTGGCAACACGGGACTTCACATCCTCATTTCCGTTCTTCTCGACCTTGCTACCTGTCTTTGGAGCCTTACCCTTCTTCTCTGAAACCTCCTCTGGATCTTCTTTTTCCTCATTCTCCTCTGCTTCACTCGGCTCCTCAACCTCCTCCTCCTCCTCCATGGTCTTCTTCTTTTTGGACTCTGCCTTCTCTTCTGCCTTCTTCTTGCTTGCTCCTGTCAACGCTTTGGCAGCTCGGGACTTCATCTCCTCATCTCCGTTCTTCTTGACCTTGTCCCCTGCCTTTGGGGCCTTTGCCTTCTTCTCTGAAACCTCCTCTGGATCTTCTTTTTCATCATCCTCCTCTGCTTCACTCGGCTCCTCAACCTCTTCCTCCTCCTCCATGGTCTTCTTCTTTTTCGACGCTGCCTTCTCTTCTGCCTTCTTCTTGCTTGCTCCTGTCAAAACTTTGGCAACACGGGACTTCACATCCTCATCTCTGTTCTTCTTGACCTTGTCCCCTGCCTTTGGGGCCTTTGCCTTCTTCTCTGAAACCTCCTCTGGATCTTCTTTCTCGCCCTCCTCTGCTTCACTCGGCTCCTCAACCTCTTCCTCCTCCTCGGTCTTCTTCTTTTTCGACGCTGCCTTCTCTTCTGCCTTCTTCTTGCTTGCTCCTGTCAAAACTTTGGCAACACGGGACTTCACATCCTCATTTCCGTTCTTCTTGGCCTTGCCACCTGTCTTTGGGGCCTTTTCCTTCTTCTCTGAAACCTCTTCTTTCTCCTCGTTCTTCTCTGCTTCACTCGGCTCCTCATCCTCAACCTCCTCGGTCTTCTTCTCTTTGGATGCTGCCTTCTCTTCTGCCTTCTTCTCCTTGCTTGCTTCTGCCAAGGCTTTGGCAACACGGGACTTCACATCCTCATCTCCGTTCTTCTTGACCTTGCTACCTGTCTTTGGAGCCTTACCCTTCTTCTCTGAAACCTCCTCTGGATCTTCTTTTTCATCATCCTCCTCTGCTTCACTCGGCTCCTCGACCTCCTCCTCCGCCTTCTTCTTTTTGGATGCTGCCTTCTCTTCTGCCTTCTTCTTGCTTGCTTCTGCCAAAGCTTTGGCAGCTCGGGACTTCACATCCTCATCTCCGTTCTTCTTGACCTTGCCATCTGTCTTTGGGGCCTCTGCCATCTTCTCTTCCAGTGGTTCACCTTCTTCCTCCTCATCTATTTCAAGGCTTTCTTCCTCCTCTCCCTCCTCTTCCCACTCTTCCTCCACTTCCTCCTCTTCCTCCAACTCCTCGCCTCCTGCTTTCTCAAGTGCCTCTGCCTTCTTCTTTTCCTTTGTCTTTGTCCAGTCATGGAGTTCTTCAATTTCTTCCTCCTCTTCTGAATCTCCTTTTTCCTTGTCTAACACATCTTCACTCGGCTCCTCAACCTCAACTTTTTTTTTTCTGTTCTTTCTTTTGCTTTCATCTTCCTCTTCGTCGGCGTCTTCCGCAAACAGCACCCTTGACTGCAGCTTTGTAGATTTGTTGGACTTGGCGCCATCAATCTCTTTTCTCAAAGCGCTGACTCTCTCAGCAGAGAGAGGTGGATTGCTGTCTGGGGTAGACTCGGAAGTTGTCAGCGGCATTCCAGGCTTCTTGCCTTCTGGCTTCGCTTTGGTCTTTGAATCCTTCAATGGAAGTTGAAGGCAGGGATGTCACATGGATGCCACATGGATGTCACATAGTTTACATGTTGAGGGTCCAAACAGCTTAACATAAGACATCAAAACGTGGGAATTCTACAGTCCTCTTGGGGCTGCGGAGTAGATGAGGCCGGGGGGGACCCAGCCTGAGTGTAGACAAATAAATTACAACATCAAGACATACACTACAACCTATCTGGACTTGCTGAGTATTTTGAGAAATCATTTGATAAGGCCACTGCAGCTTTGCATGGCGGAGTCCTTGTGAATGAGTCATCGGTCTTGGACAGGGCATCGAAGTCCTGCCCATGAAACCCCTTGATAAAAGTCGTTCCACCTTTGACAACCTAAAAACAGTGGACATGAGTGATTCAAGGTGCTGGAAAGGTCGATGCCGTCCTGGTCGAAGCCGTGCTGCGCAAGAAGTCTTTCCAGGCTCATTGCGTGACCCCGCCAGTCGCTGGAAAAGCAGGGCCAAAGCAAAAAGAAACTTACAGACCTTTTGTTGGTCAGGACTTGAGCTAGGTGCCTAAGCAAGATCCATCAGAAACATGTGATAGAAGAGGCAAGCCACTGACTTGATGATTCTGTGGAGAGCCAATGAATAAGTGAAAACGCTCCATGATCCTATAAGTATGAAAGTATACTTTCCTTCATGCCGAGGGCCAGGACTGATGTTGGGATTGTTAACTATCTCTGACTGAAGTGTCACGCAACACTTCGATAAGAAAACCCGAAGCAGCTCCTGCTTTGGCTTTTCGTTTCATGTCCTGCACCTTTTCCACCTTGAGAAACCTGGAAGCCCCATGGGCTATCAGGAACTGCTCATCACCCAGCTCCAGTTGAACGTGGGCAGCCTCAATTCAAGAGTCTGGTGTGGAAACGGGCACAACACAAGATCAGTGTGCCTTCATGTTGACTTGTTTCATAGGAAATCATCTGAACATGTTTCTTGACATGAAGCGATGAAGAGCTTCCACTGCTGACGCTCCTCAACTTGTTCCTTGTTGGGTTGAGATGTGGAACCTATAACAAAGGACTTTCAAAATATAATGATATCGTTATTCTCAGATTGTTGGATAGATCTGGATTGATTCAGATGATACAACCCCAAACCACAATAAAATAGCAAAAGCTCAAGCCAAACTTTGGAGAAACACCAAAGAGAAAAATAGTGTGATGGGACTTGAGCAAGCATCCAACTTTCCAGAACGATCTCTAGCCTGCACAACAAACAAAGTGGTGCCAGGCTCACGCCCCACGATTTTCGCCTCAACATAGTACCGGTCCTGCAGAGAGCTGATGTCAGTGGGCTCATTGAGCCATGCAGGCAGCAACTCATCAGCAGCAACTTTCGGCGCTGGCAAGCGAGGTGCCGCAGGGTTGGCATGGGTGCAGCTGAACCTGCGATGTAGGACTGGCAGTTTGAAAAAGGCAGGTTTATTGCCAAAGCACGTTTAGTTTTTCTGATATGTTAATGTCATCCATCATAGTTCATAATAGGATCATATCCCATGCCTTGGGAAACTGTTGAATGTGAAATATTTCATTTTTGGAATATGATTTGATCTTGGGCAATGGGACTGGCCAATCTCAGTGACAGCCAAGAAACTTCTTGTCAAAGTCGCTCAAAAGATCACGCCATTCTTGTCCAAACACCACATCGTCACTGTACCTGGACCGGATGTTGGTTGGAACTTTGATCTTGTACTTTTCGGTGAAGGGTTTGTCCTTGCTGTTGTCCACCTGTTCAACTGCCAGAAGCTTGAAGCTGAAGTCGGAAAGTTTCACATCCTCTGGCACGTCCAATGGTTCCGGTTCGTACTTCCGAGCATTGCCCATGGGATGTTGTCCACTTTTCCACCCCTGAAGGGTTTGAATTCAAAACTCAAAACAGAAGTGTGTGAAAAAACGAGAAAGGGCATCCAAACCAGGAGTTTCAAAACAGGACCCTCCAGCAACTTCATTTTTGACAACAGAAATCCTGAATCAACTCCAGGGCAAGGGCTTTCTCGCAGTAATCCACCACAGGACTTTGCTTGCTGAAGCTCAGTGACTTCAAGGTCCACCCGGGCAACATGTTCCCTGACCTTTGCTTTGACATCCCAAAATTTGAGAACACGATTGAATTCAAACGTAATTTTCCAGGTTCACCCATGTGGTAGGGGACTTTGATTGCAAGTGGGAGCAAACTTCGGGTTGACATGAAAAAAATCCACCAAAAGGATGCGAGGATGTTTGCAGTAAATTGCTACTGCGCTTGGGGGATGGAGTTAAACATAGGGGCTTGCCCAATCAAAACATGAAAGCTACCTAACAGCTACAAAGCACTGCAAACAAAACCGCTCCAGCCATCCGTCGTATGGGGTGCAGTTCAGAATGCCCAGCAATTTCGATGGGACCTTGGCCTTGGTGAGCAACCCGGTCATGATCGCCTCTGGGAAAGCCAAGCCCGACAGGTACTGCGCAGTCTCCTGGTACTCCGAGAGACTCCTCATGGACAAGGTTATCACAGGAGTGCGGTGGGACTGGAGAGTGGCTTGTCAATGAAAATGTACAGCACCATACATATTGTACGTGGATGTGTCGCATAAATATAACATGCATCGTTGTATGTTTCAATAAGGCCACATGCCGCGTGGCTATTCAAGAGAATCAACATCCACTGGCCAGCAGCGTTGAGACTTGAAGGAAACATGATTTCAACACCGATGGGAACAGCAGGGACCAGGCAAAGTCGGCAAGCATGGCCGACCGTCAAACACAACTATCCACAAGTGCGAATTGGATAGAGACAAGGATATCTCGTTTGAAAGTTTGTTAAGTTGCCACATTGGTCACTAGACCCTATGATACCCCGTGGAACTGTTGAAACCCATACCCCTCCTGGTTTCTGCCGCGTGGGGGAGTGCGTCTCTTTCAGCACTTGGCACAACGTAGCAGCTTTCAGGTTGGAACGGAATCAGCTTCCTCGGAGACCTCCGAAGATGGATAGATGTCAAGAAGCAAAAATCCAAACCAAATTTGTTTTGGCCAGGAACATGCCACGAATTGAGCAACTACTGCTAATAGGCTGGTAGCAACATATTTTATTACAGACAGTTAGGATGTTTTTACCCCGCCTGTCCGGCACCAGTTGGCTTTGCATGAACACGTTCTCTGACTCCACACTCTGCTCAACCACCAGCCACGCTTGAAAGCAAATGGGCACTCGCTTCGAAGCGGGCGGCAATTCCATCCTCAACGTCAGAAGCACATTGGTCAAACCTTTGAAGGCCATTTTGTCCTCTATGCGTCTCATCTGTTCCTGCAAGGTGCTCTTTTCCGGCACCATGATCGGACATGTGACAAATCCTGCTGCCATAACCGGGTTCTGGCGCAGAAAGTTGCCAAGCATGTCCGCCATGTAGTTGAGGTCCTTCCCGCTGATCTTCCCAAGTTTTGTAAGGTCCTGCCAGACCAGAAGGGCACCGGACGCCTTCCCCAGCTCTTTCAAGAACTCAGGGCAAGACAGATTGAATCCAGCAAAGTTCAATCCAAGACCCAAGTTTAGCAAAAAAAACAGCGTTTTGAAGTCATTCAAGATCCATGCTATGTAGTTATACTGACCTAAACGTAGATGGCTCAACTCAAAAACCAAAATACCCACATCTTAAGATGGCACCGCGCGGTGAGAAAGAAAACGGCGCTATTTTAGCTGGAACATAAAACGAGTTCCGCCAATTCCCAAGACAGGAAGCAAAACCACCGCTATGTTGGCCCTTTGTTGGGTCATTTTAGGGCTATGTTGGGCCATTTGGGGTTCTGTTGGCGGCTTTCGGGAGTAAACTTTCGGGAGTAAAATTTCAACCCCAACGGACGCATGGTTCTGTTGAGGTTGAATTTGGGGTCGGTTTCGGGCATATGTTGGGCCATTTGGAGGCTATGTTGGGCCTCTGTTGGGCCATTTTAGGGCTATGTTGGGCCTTTGTTGGGTCATTTGGGGCTCTGCTGGCAGCTTTCAGGCCTAAAATTTCAACCCCAACGGACGCATGGTTCCGTTGAGGTTGAATTTGGGGTCGGTTTCGGGCATATGTTGGGCCATTTGGAGGCTATCTTGGGCCTCTGTTGGGCCATTTTAGGGCTATGTTGGGCCTTTGTTGGGTCATTTGGGGCTCTGCTGGCGGCTTTCGGGCCTAAAAATTCAACCCCAACGGACGCATGGTTCCGTTGAGGTTGAATTTGGGGTCGGTTTCGGGCATATGTTGGGCCATTTGGAGGCTATCTTGGGCCTCTGTTGGGCCATCTTAGGGCTATGTTGGGCCTTTGTTGGGTCATTTGGGGCTCTGCTGGCGGCTTTCGGGCCTAAAAATTCAACCCCAACCGAAGCATGGTTCGGTTGAGGTTGAATTTTGGGTCGGTTTCGGGCTTATACTGGGCCATGTGGAGGCTATATTGGGACTTTGCTGTGCTATCTTAAGGCCATCCATGCGGGCATTCCCAGCCTGATTTTGGCGAATGAGTGGGAGTTGCGCCATCTATGTCCCAAAAAGGCAGCTTGATGTTGAGAAAAGATATGGGGGGAAACCAGCGCAGAAGATTGCAAAAAACAGGTCGTTTTTAGGGACATACATGGCGCAAATGACCTGTTTTGGATGGGAGTTGAGCCATCTATCCCCTGCATTTTGCATTTGACATAGATGGCGCAACTCAAGATTCTGAGCCATCTACTTTGACATCAAGATACCCAACCTTGTCCGTCGACCCAGAGATCTCAACATCAGCGCCACCCCGGAAACATGCATTTTGGTCCATGAAATTCTTCACCAAGGAGGCTCCAATCACGTTTTGATTCTTCAGGTGCAGAATGCGAGCAGTTCGCTTGCTCTTCCTTCCATTCGCAGTAATGATGGGTTTGTTGGATAAGCCAACAAATAGGTGATTCTTTCAAACAAGAACCACCACCACAGCAGGTAGGGCATCAACTCACCTCGAATATAAACTAGAAGGCCTTATATTGTATTGTATGGTATCAAGCTATATACTCTTCAATATATCTTTATCACGCACCATATGTTGGGAGTCTTGAAGATTTGCCTGCGTTTGAGCCCTGCTAAAACTTGATCCCGTGATAGGACTTGGCTTGAAGTTCAGTTGCAAAGTCTAAGAATTGAGACTTGAGACAGGATGATAGCCAGGACTAACATCATTGCAACACTGATGAATTTCAGGGCCAGTTTCTGAGAACGTGAGTCAGCCTCGAGCAGCTGACCCAAAGTTGCAACGTCTCGAGCAAACTGCAAGGAGTCGCGCTCATAAGCCAACTTTCCTGAGACGTTCAATGCCAGGCTGTGGGAATAGCTGGGACAGCTGGCTTTGAAGTGGGATCAAACATGTGTTGTCAGACCCTTTAAAATGGGACGTTGGTGCACCAAGATTCGAGCATCCTTCGAGAGGTTTTCAAGCTGCTCATCAGCTTTCGTGAAGCGACTTTCCTCGAGACAACTTAAATTTGACCATACAGGAAATGTTCAGCTACTTTTTCACATCATGACCGTTGTATCTTGCTGATTCCAGTCATGTTGGGGATTAAACAAGGCTCATACAAATTCTGCTAGTGTGCATGCAGGGTTCATCTGCAGCTGGCTCTGTCACTGCTGGGAGGTGCTCCTGCCAGCATGCTGAGAAGGAAGCCTGGTAGGCTGGGTCCTTCAGTGTCAGAACCTCCTTCATCTCAGAATGGAAGTCCCTAGGGGCATCAGGGCTACAGTCCAGTGGAAGGTAACCCCAAAGTTAGTGAAGGACCTTTGGAAACACATCCCCAAAAACAAGATTCAAAAAACAAGTTTGAGTTTGTTCTACCCAGGAGCCCCTCAATGCATCGCTTCAAGGCAGCATCCAGAATCTCAAATGGAAACATGTTGGTACCGTCATCGAACTGCGCTCTTGTCATCTCCACGAGCCTTTGCTGTATCGTTCCCAAACTGATGCAACAAGTTCATTGAAACTACTTGGCTTGCATTTGGAATTGAAGCCCTTTGGTGGGAAAAAAAAGTTTAAGAAACAGGAAAACATTGTGAAACTCCGGGGCTAGGTTCAACCACCCCAGCACACAGCAAATGTCAACTTCCTGGCACCACTCCTGCTGGGTCAGCCGAAGAATTGTCCTGGAACTAGCTCGTTTGGCGCTGATGGAATGAAGCATCAAGATTCCTGAGCAGAAACATTCATGAGATATTGAAGACATCACATCAGCAGGGACATCAACAAAGAAAGAAACAAACAAACTGCCAAGTAGAGCAAGTGGAAGCAATCTTGGGTGTCAAAGCATCATTACAATCTAAGGGACGGTCAATGAACAAACACTGCTTTTCTTCATCGACAGTGAGAATGGAATGCCACATTGAGCAGGATACTTTGACTGACCCTTGTAGCAGCCAACGCTTCTCCAGTAAAAGGTCTTTCGAGAAGGCTGACAGGGTTGCGAAGCAAAGAAATGCAACCATCTAATACTTTGAAGGTTACAACCTCCTGGCCACAAGCTGTTGGTGTTCCAAAAATGCTTGGACAAAGTCTAGGAATGTCGAGTGAATAAATTGCAGGATGCATGTTTCATTATCAAGTTCCAAGACTGCTATTGCATGGTCCACTTTTCGTTTTTTCAACATAACACTGCAAGATGCTGGGAAAATCAGACTATTTGTGAACGCCGGGCCTGACTGCTCCCAGCGAAACGAATGCAAATGCCGTTCAAGCTTTTCCCACACAGTGACCGACACTCCAGCCTCAACTCCAGAGTTGAACGTTTCCGGATTGTATGGTTTGTTTATTTTTCCCCTAGCTGCATCAAAGAAAAAAGTCTTATTACATCAAATACAGTAGGCTACTAAACTTTGACCAAGTCAAACAGCAGCCAAGAAAACTGTATAAAAATCGCTGTGACTTGCTATGCAAGACCAAAGAAACTCTCAAAGCAAAGAGTTCCAATGCAGCATCCTCTGTGATCTGCAGTCTCGGGTTCGCTACTGCCGCGCCATAGTTGTTGTACTCCTGGACAGCCTTTAAGAACGCGCTCCTCTTTCCATCAGGGCCATCGTAGCCCAAGGAGTCCTGAGGTAGAAAAGCAAAGTGTTGTGACAATGTCTTCACTTCTTGGTGTGTTCTTCCATCCTAATTCAACATGCCCCAATGCATTCTCCTATGTATGAGCCCCCACCAGGAAAGGAAAATTCCTATTCTTGCACACTGTGCGCTGGTCGTTAGTATGCTTCGACTTTGAAGGGTGTCCCATGTTTCAGAACAAAGACTTAGCATCTCTTGGATGAATGTGCGAACCCATGTCCTCCAACATGAGGCTGTCGGCCCGTCGGGCAAAGACCAAAGCTTTCTGTAGGATGCTTTTGCGTTCGCGCTGGGCCTGTTGTTCTGATGTTTGAAGTCGCTTCCAATCGTAGTGTGATGGGTCTTGTTCCACAACCATCCGGCAGCGCAAGGTCGCCACAGTCTGAAGCCACCTGGCCAGTTGAAGGACTGATGCTTGCAGCTTCCAATCTCCAAACCCGATAAAAAGACTTTTGGGACACTATCAAGCAATAATCCATTAGGTGATTATCAAAGGGTGGAATGACTGATATTCTGCGGTGTCAGTAGGGCAAGACCAATTAGTAATCTGCGGGTGCTACCTCTTGGATACAATGTAAGATTACATTTTGGACATTCTGCGTCATGGATTTTGGCTTTAAAAGACCTGTCCTCCAGGGACGAACCTTTGGACCAAACGTTCACCCTTTGAGGTCTTCTGCGACCTCGACTGGTTGACAGATTGATTGATTTGCCTGTTCTTTTTTAAAGCAGATTATCACTTTTCATGACTTTTCATTCCGAATGATTCCATCATGTTGCAGAATAGATGGCCTAATCAGTTTGTCAGTGAATATGCACCCTGCAGAATATCCTCCAGGGACGAACGTTTGGACCAAACGTTCACCCTTTGGCTCCGGCCACAAATCCACCCAAATCCACGAAGCAGATTATCCCAAAATCAAGCTTGCATATTATCCAGCATATTATCCAGCATATTCTCCAGCATATTATCCAGCATATTATCCAGCATATTATCCAGCATATTATCCAACATATTATCCAGCATGCTATCCAGCATATTGTCCACCATATAATCCAGCATATTATCCAGCATATTATCCAGCATATTCTCCAGCATATTATCCAGCATATTATCCAACATATTATCCAGCATATTATCCAGCATATTATCCAACATATTATCCAGCATATTATCCAGCATATTATCCAACATATTATCCAGCATATTATCCAGCATATTAATGATCCAGCATATTATCCAGCATATTAATGATCCAGCATATTATCCAGCAAATTATCCAACATATCTAGCATATTATCCAACAAACTATCATTCGATGAGGCTGCAGCGCACAGCAGAATGCAACATCTTTGCCAGCATAGCTACCATGTGCAGCAGAATATTGATAAAGTAAGATCATAGGCTTTCAGGGATCTATGAACTTGACCCATGGGGCCATGGAAGTTCGTACCAAGAAATCAAATTTATTCACGATGAGAAGCAAGCCATGGCAAGCCCCTGCCCACCTGCAGAAGTCAGCCTGCACTCCATCGCTCATGTCATCCTTGTGCAGGAATGTCCAGAAGACCCCGAACAAGATCATCGACAGGCGCCCCAAGCCTTTCGTGCATTGCAATTGCCAGTGTGCAGCTGATAGATTCCGCTCTTTGCACTCCATAGGCTCCCTCAGAGAATCATAACCTGACCAGTAAATGTCCATGGCGTTGTTGCGCCACGTTGGAAACAAAGGAATCCCGTCTGATGGCATTTCATAAGCGAGTGCCGTCAGTGGAACACCATGTAGAATCTTCTGACCCAGGCCCTTAGTTGATGACATGGTTGGGGACTTCAAGTTCACAGTTTCTGAATTTCCTTCATTTGGCTGGGTCTGACTCCAAATAATTCGTAATCCAAAGATTTTGAAGCTGGACTAGAAACTGCTAGCTTCACCTTGCTTGGTGCCGCAACTGCACCAGGGCAAACTTCATCAAGCCATGACCACAAAGCTTCCGCCATGCCCTCCCCATTTGACAGGACAGTGAGAAGCCATCGTACTGGGTGCTTGCCATCCAGCACATCAAAGGTCCTACAGGCAGGGTGGTTCAGAGATGACTTAGTCACTTAGTCTTACTCAATGGGTTTCCATCGAAACCTCGTCCTTTTATTCCAGGTCAATTAGTCACTAGGACAAAAGGATTGGCACGTTTTCCAGCCACAAAGTTTTAAGATCTTTCTAGCAAGCATAGTTTCCCATGGTACATGAAGTACTAAGTAGCCAAGGCTCCCTAAGCCGCTTTGCATGAACTCATCACACCAAGGCTTTGAAGGTTTCACAGCCTTGACACTTGAAGATCCCTTGTCAGGCCCTGGTCGCTTTGCCATGGTGCACAAATGATCGTCGGGCACCCGGCCTTCAATCAAAAGCCACCAGATTCAGAAACAACATACGGTTCTCAATCATGTAATATCAATCATATGTTGATACCAACCATGTAATTGTACACATACACATATCAATCATGTTTTTGCACCATTGAACCCCGTAAATCTAGGCGATGATAAATTTGTCATTGGGCCTGAAATGCATCAGCAGCCTCATTAAGATCCAATATGTTCTGAACGTTGATCCACTGGTTTGATTGAGAAGGGCTCAATTACATAGGTTTGAAGCAATGGTGACGGTGTTTCTACTTGTTTGCTTGGATCCCTTTGAACTTCTTATCGGGCTGTACGGATTCCATACCCAGCTGAGAATGACTGAGAAACAACTTTGAAGCTTTCAAACCATGTCATTGTCGTTTGCATTTCTTTCAACACTTGAAAGCCATCCTCAAATTGGGTCCAGCGACTGGGCGCGGAAAACCGCGAATTGGGCCCATTAATTAGATAACAAATTGGCATCTATGTCACACTTTCTGCAGGGCCAGTGCGCAACACAACAAAACGGCCCCTACGCAGGGAACAGACATAGCGTTGCCTGCAAATCTAATCTGGGCCGTTTTGCATGCGTCCTCCAGCTCTAGCTTTGGACTGGAACTGATCTTTGCCTGCTTTGCAGTGACAGGAAGGCAATGTGAAGACAGAGCTTCATGGGGATGAAGATAGCGCTTCATCTCCTGAATGGCTGGGAGTATTTAGCAGGTCTCTCATTTGAACAGTCTCTCAACAGGATGCTAACCAAGAAGAATGTATTGTTACGTGATGTTGCATGTCTAGTTTAACTCAAACGAGGTGTGTTTGGTGTGTGTGTGTGCGTGCAAAAATGTTCCAAGCCCGCCCAGCAAGAGTTGTAACTTTCCTGGCAGGCAAGCCTTGCGACATGTTAGCTTAGCTGGTAAGCACTGGTGATGCATTTCCTCCCTATTTGAACCAAACTTTTTGTCACACACCTGGGAAGACCGGGCCTGGCTGTAGAGCTGACCCGTATGAGTCGTCAAAGTAGGTAAGCAACCATCCTTTGTCTCACCTCGGGCCCTTCCGTTCTTGCAGCTCTGAGTCAAGTCAGGATACTTGAACTTAGGGTACATCTTCTTGTACGCCTCCAAGTTGTCAGCCTTAGGGTAAGCTTGTGTAAGAAGGTAAATAAATGTGGGCATTCCCACCTCCTACACTTTACTGTTTCTGCTGATAATGCATTCAAAGTACAGCGCTTGGAGTGAGCATGGTTTGGGGAAGGCTCTTCATCCAGTAGTAGTCGCCAGCATTCATCACCACTTTGGAGCACAGTGCACCAACAAAAGAACTCAAAGCAAAAGGGGCAGTCCATCGAATCTCTTGGACCTTCCAACCCACAATGAAAACCCTGGCACGTGAGCAGGGTAAGCCCAAACATCGTGGATCCATCCGGGTTGAAACAAGTGTCCATGCTGGACCCAGCTCCTTTTTCACCAACGCCTCCTCGTACTCTGTCACATTCTCGATCAGCAGAATGGAGTTCTTGCTTGCCTTCATGTTGCTGAAGTAAGACACATGTGTTTGGTGATACTTGCCATGTTGACCTTGGCGTTTTCCCATCATGCTGTAGTCGATGCAAACAGGGCCTTGCAACCATTCAGCCACTCATTATTGTTGCTGCATGATGCTGCTGTCGGTGATGATGCTGCTAAAAGCTCACGATGGTATTGTTTGTTAGTGACTGTCAGTGTTTGGACTTCTCAGGTCGAGACCGGCGACATTGATGTCAATACCTGAGGCAGGATGGCCTGGCGGCTTTGGACATGAACACTATACCACACTGATCCATATTGCTTTCTCTTTTGAACCCAAGATTAATTGAAAGTCACAGCTTGACATGAATTCTGAACTACATGGTATATAGACTAAAGCCCAGTGTTGACCTAGGTGCTGTTCCCTTCTCCGCTTTGGGGCTGCAGCTCACACATCTTATGATGCCGTTGGCAGTAGCATGTCCTCTGGTGAACCAAATCGATCTTCGTGATATCCTCGAAGATACATTGTCCAGGATGTTCAGGACCGTATGTAGACAAGAGTACATCCTGGCATGCCTTGTCTATTTCGATTGCTGACTTTATGGCCACTCCACAGCCAGGGGCATACTTGGCAGCAGCATTCTGAAGGGATATAGCAGCCTGGGTTTTTGTCCAAAAGAATTCACAACCACATTTGAAAGAAAAACAGAACATTGATTTGTCAAACCTTGTCAAATATCAAATAACTAGCCGGTTTGCTATTGATTGTAACCCCAAGCTGAAATATAACTTCATGAATTGCAACTTGAACTGCTCTATGATAAGCGGAGCTTGTGAGAAACTGGGGCCCGAGCTTGTTCAGCACATCCCACTCCAGTGAAACATGTGGACAAGTTCCAACTCCATCGTGCAAGCCGCTGTGTTAGCCAGTCCTGTCCAAAGCATGTTGCAACGCGTTCCAGAAACAGGGAAGCCCACTTGTAGGTGTCAGCAATTGAACGAAATCGAACGGGGTCAACATCCCTCGCCATAGGAATCGTCGCTTTAGGATAGTAATTCCTCAGGGGTGAATGTAAAATCAATGCTGTGGGAGCAAAAAAAGCAAGATGATAAGCAAATTGAAACACAAATAAGATGCAGACCTGCAGATCGTTTGCACTGATCCTTCCCTGAGCTGTGAATGATTCAATCAAACAGCTCAAGCAATGAGCAGGTGCAGGAGCCGCGGCCTTGTCATCTCAGTTCGCAGATCTTTCGGGGTCTTCCTGGACATCGAGGCATGGACACTGAAAAGCGGTAAGCGAAAGACACTCATTCTTGCAAGTTAGTTTCTCACTGTACTGGGGTACCAACTTCACTGTGCTTGGCCTTTTTTTGCAAATAGACCTCTGAGAAAAATAATCACCGGTCATGTAAGCATGGGTTAATCCAGAACAAAGGAAACCATTCCTGGACAAACCTTTTGAATTTTGAATCTTTTTGATGGGATTCATTGCACAGTGTGGAAATTGAGTTGCATGCCTTTTGGGCTTCATGCTCATGTCGGTTTTCCTGAGGCTGTTTCAAGACAAAATCAAACTATGTTTCATTTGACCAACTGGTGTCAGCTAGCCTAGCAAAATTCTTTCACACGCTAGGACACTGGCGGTGTGTGCTGGGAGCTCTTGCAAATTTCTGGACTTGCCCTGGGGTTGACTTTGCAAGGGCTCGGAATCTAGGCGGCAATAAGACTCCCCGAGGTTCAGGCTTGCGTTTCCCAGCACTAGCAGGGGTGGAATCTTCTGTCCTGAGAGCGTTGATGTGAAGAGCTGGGAGTTTAAGCTTCTCTCAAAGCTAAACATTTTTGAAAACAAACTAGCAGCTCGTTATTATGTTTGGATAGTATTTTACACTGCGTGGTGTGCACTGTTGAAGGAAACACGTTTCTCCGGCATATGTTGTTTTCAAAATATCGTTGGGTGCCCTGGTGGTTTTTAATGGCTTTAGGCATATGGTATCATATGGTCATCTATCGCTGTATCATTTGTTTTCTCGTTAACAAAGTACTCCTCCCATTATCTGTAGGTAAGTCAGAGGCCACATGACCCCACTACTATATTTTCTTCACCAGCACCATCATCATCCCCGCCATCGACGTCAACATACACATACACCATCAACATCATACATTATCAATGTCATTGGCATCATTGCCATCATCATCTTTTATCATCATCATCATCATCATCACCATCATCATCATGATCATCACCACCAGCATCATCATCACCATCATCATTATGATCACCACCATCTTCCTCCTCATCATCCTCCTCCTCCTGATCATCATCATCATCATCATCGCCATCATCATCATCACCATCATCTTCATCCTCATCATCAACATCATCATCACCATCACCATCATCATCATCATCATCATCATCATCATCATCGCCATCATCACCAGCATCATCATCATCACCATCACCATCATCATCAGTTATCAACTTCAGCAACACCATGACCATCATCGGCATCACAGTCACCAGCGCCATCCTCATCATGACCGTCATCATCACCATCAGCCATTACTGTCATTGACACTGTTATCATCATCCCTACCATTCCCACTATCACCATCACCATCACTCAACGTTGTCACTCCATGATATACCACATCTTTCATCCTTTTCTCTTCACAGTTTCTCATTCATCATTGTATCATTTCATGATCACCAGTCATCATCATCATCATCATCGTCATCATCATCACCACCATCATCACGATCATCATCATCATCATCATTACCATCACCATCATCATCAGCACCATCATCACGATCATCATCATCATCATCACCAGCATCATCATGGCCATCATCATCATCATCACATCATCATCATCATCACCATCATCACGATCATAATCATGATCATGGTCATCTTCTTCACCGTCATCATCATCATCATCACCATCATCGCGATCATCATCATGATCATGGTCACCTTCTTCATCATCATCATCACCATCACCATCACCATCGCCACCATCATCATCATCATCATCATCACAATCATCAATCATCATCACCTGTCATCATCACCTTGGTCGTCAGCATCTTCTCATCATCACAGCCGTCATTGGGCTCAGCAGCAATTGAAGCAACGTCCAAACATCTCCCAAGATTGCCAAATAACAGGCTTACGGTAGTCTTCATCATCATTTCACATTCATTACTAGGACACTCCCCCCTCACTATCATGTCTCATTGATTGGCAACATCATTTGATAGTGAATGGTGGTTTTGGGGTATATATAGTTTTCTGCCTGAGGATGGGTTGTTTTCACTTTCATGTGCAGCCTGACAAATAAGGCGGTGGCTCCTTTTGAGCACATGCCTTCTTTGGTGATTGCTGTGAGTTCCTAAACCAAGTGCTGGTACAGAGTCGTCCAGTCATCATGGAGCAAGGACAAACACACATTGTTGCTCCCCCATGTTCAAATAAGAATAACATGCTTTTCCAGTTTTGCACACAGCAAGCTGGGACATGGACTTCCTCGGGCTAGCGCTTTCAGAACTGCTGCAACTTTTCCTAAGCTGCAAGCAAAAGGAAGGGTGGCACAAAATGGAAGACAACCGGAATCCAAACAACCATGCGGGCATTTAGGCAAGATCTGTCATATCCCCATCTTAAAGTTTTGCCTGATTACAACCGTGTGCAGCCAATCAGCAACCCTTGAACTCTAGCACACCCAGGGTGAAACACTTCCCGGATGTCAATGTTCAAGAGAGGGGCTCTTGTCAAGTCCAAACCGTCAGCACATCTGTCCGTTTAACATAGAACAGTTTTGATTTAGTACAATGTTGGTGGCGCATGTCCAGACATAGAAAACATAGCTAGGTCTGCAACTGAGATGTCATGGATCTGCTAGAATGACATAGTGTCATAGCATGTTCTGCCACGGTGTCATCACACGGTGTTTTCAGACAAGTATGGAACTAAGGATTGTACTGCTTGAGCTGGTTCTTTGACTTCTTAGGTGACACAAGTGCCCTGGCAGCGCTAAGAAAAGAACAGGACATGACTCGCTCCACAAGAGTGGAAAATCCAAGGGCAGTAATATCTTCCTATGTTTTGGGGAACGGATCAATCATGATTGTTTGAAATCAGAAGTCTCCAGCCTTTGCACTCTGGACTTCAGATGAAGGGCAGAGGCCCTGATGCAAACAGTGCGAGCTGCAGGGAACAGCAAGCTCATTGAGATTCTAGACTGAGTAAAACTTGTCCAAGTTTCTAATGACACATTGTGTCGCATCAATGTTTCGATAAGTATTGAGTGCAAAAAGGCACTCGCACACACACACACAAACACGATATGCTGAGTTTGCAACTCAACTCTAGACCTCGCAAGAGTCAGCCAAAGTCAGATTCCAAAGTCTTGGTTCCTGTGTCATTTTGGAGAAGGTGTGTTGAGAAGTTAGCTTGGCTGAGTCTGAGACTCCTTTTTACACTTCTCTTTTTTTTCGTCCTGATGATCCTGATGCAAAAGAAAACGCAGGCAACAACTGTATGTTTCAAAAGTGCTGATCATCCAGCCTCATTGTGTCCGGCTGCGCTCTCATGGCAGCCATTGCTTGACTGAGGCTCAGAGTCCTTCTGGCCATGCTGCGCTTCAGGCTTGAGCCTTTGTTGCCTTTAGCATCCCTCTATTCATGTTTCAAACTCACCCCATGAATTGCGACAAATTGTGACAGGAAATTTGAGGCTGCCTGTCAACATGCTTTGGAATAAGAAACAGCACAGAATCCCATCGGCGTTTTTCTGGCCTTTGAATCGATGGCCCTTTGAGTTTGCACTTCGCAACTGCTGTGCACAGCATCTTGCGATGACACAGCAACCCCTACCCAGTCAGAAAGTGTGAAAAGCACACTTGGTCTGAAGCTGTACTGAAACGCAAAAGATAATATAAACTATGGTGACTCTAGGCCATGAAGCAATCTTTGATCCTCCTCAATCCTTCTGGCAAAAATTTTGGGCAACTCTTGGTAGAAGTGTTTGCTGGCCTCCGACATGAAGAAACACAGTAGGTGATCGTAGGTTGCTATTTGCATGCAGCATTTGATCACATTTGAGCATGCAGATTGAAAAATCCAACCTCCAGGGCCCACTCCAGGTGTTCCGTCATCTGAAGATTTTGCATCACAAGAAAATGATTTGTTTCACTGTGTTTTTCAAGACCCTTGCAGTATGTCTTTTTAACCCCAGGCTCCGGCCTGCGCGTCTTCAAAATGTTCAGGAATTGTTGATGGAGGGTCCTGGCAACCCGGTTCAACTCTTATGGTCTTGCCTCAGGATTGGAGGAAGCTGGTTGTCCTCCACGACGATGACTTCACCGTCATTAGAGCCGCCCTGTCATCAAGATGATGCTTGAACATGTATGCTTGGGGACTGTGGTATTAGGACAGAAGATAGTTAGGAAGGTCTTCATCCAACATGGATGCCTCACAAATACGTTTCAAGATTGGTCTGAGACCCTTGCTTTCAACATTTCTTTTGCTGAAGGACATTGGATCATAATGTGCCCATGTCACATGCATACATACACAGTATATAGGTCTCATAAAGGTAAGTAGCAGAATCTGGTGTACGGTTGCAAGATAACTCAAGCCTCAACTGAGCTGCTGCTGCCATGGTCAGGCTTCTCTAAGGATCTCAACCTCAGAAGGTATACTGCATCCTTTCCTAATTCTCTCAGCAGTTTTAACGATCATGGAATTTCAATTTCAATCAAATGGGAGAGTGGGGCACCAGGTGATGATTCACTCACTGAGCTACAGCCCTGTCCGAGGTAAATTCACTGGTGTGACTTTTCCCAGAATCAGCCTCAACACTGAGTGGCTGGCTGGCTATCCGATGGAGTCCTTCAGCTGCAGAAACACAGAAGCACAAGATTTAGATTCCATGGGGAAGATTCAAAAAAAAATACTTTACTTCGTGTGATCCCCGCCATGACATTTTTTATATTTTGTTACTGGCAAATCTTCTA